TACTTTAAACTGGTGAGACTGGTCCTAATCCTCTCTCAGAGCCAAATTGCATAATACTGGGACAACCAGCTCATGTGGGAAACTCTGGGCTAAGACTTTCAAAAATTACTAGTGATTTCTGCTGCCAACTTGAAACAACTTAAAAGGGCCTTTCTGAAAATCAGGCCCTTTTAAAGGTGACTCAAGACCAGCATCCAAAAAAACAAGGCACCCAAAAATCACTAGTCACTTTTCAAAATCTTGGTCATGGTCCTTACCCAGTAACCATGTAACATCTACTGTGTCAAATACAAATCTGTTTAATTTAACTCAATTTTGCCTTAGTCAATTAAAACAAATTTAAAAGAAAAATCGAATCAAATAAATTAAAACTGAGCTCAATACTGAGTTCTAACATTTTGCATCTCTGATAGTATTATCAACCGGTCTGGATCTCTTGGATCTGAGTGAACCTGTCTTACAAACCCAAAGCAAGACAAAGAAGTCAGAGAATGCATCAAGAGGTGAAAACTTAAAGGCTTCAACCCACAGAAAGAAGACAGACAACTCAGACCTTATAAACGTGGATGCTGAGCAGAAGGTCCAGATTGGGAGAGCGCCAGAGAAGTCATCATTAGATTTAGGTAAGAGCTGGTTATTTCATCAGTGCCACTCAGCCATGCTTAACTTTACCAATTGCTTCTTGCTGCTATCACAGAATAGCACCCCGGGCCATCTTCTCATCGCCATGCACCTTCCGTAAACCGTTACACCACTGCATAGTGCAAGTAAATTGTGATTTAGTAGCATTTTATACCCACTTTACTCTCGATGTGCGCTGGTGTAAATGACTACACAGGGTGCAGGGCAATGGAAAAGCTGGCCCGTACAATGGAATGTCTTGGTAAGAGGGTAAAGTGTTTTTATAGTGGAGGGGAGCTGTTAAATGCAAATAAAATCAATCATTCTTTTTCCAAGGTGCCACTCAGGGTATGTCTACACTGCCATTAGACATCTGCAGCTGACCCATGCCAGATGACTCAGGTTCGCGGGGCTCAGGATAAGGGGATGTTTAACTCAGGTGTAGACATTCAGGCTAAGGCTGCAGCCTCCAAACTCACAGGTTCTAGAGCCCAGTCCCCAACCCAAGCCCAAATGTCTACACCGCAATTAAACAGCCGCTGAGCCTGAGCCCCACGAGCCCAAGTCAGCTGGCACAGGCCAGCCGCAGGTTTTTAATTGCAGTTTAGACATACCCTCTGTGTCAATTGTGAGGTCACTTTTATGATGTGGACACTTATCTATTAGGAGCTGGGCTCTGTCCACAAACTCATTTTGCAATGTTGATCAGACGGCCATTAGGATAATACATTTCCAAGCTGGGCTGGTCTGAAAGTAATTTATCATCTCTGGCATACTCTCTCTCACTAAACATTTCATGTTCGCTTTTAATCAACAAGAGGGTAGCTACCAGAGAGAGGCTTACAAATGCCAAGTTTTAATTAAATATAAACCAATAACTTATAAATGGTGAGCAATGCTTCTTGTGAGATAAGCTGTCAGAACTTAAGTAAAATCATTGGGGGGCAACTTTCTCAAAACTCTTTCCAGATTGTCTCTGGGTGGGATCTTCCAAAGCACCTGAATGAGTTAGGTGCCTAACTCCTATTGATAGGTGCCTAGTTAACACTCTCTAACTCACTTAGATATTTTTGAAAATCCCACCCTCTTGTTTTCTGGTAATGAATTGCCAAAATTGAATTCTAGGTGTGGTCTCCCAGGATTATATACAGAGAGACTAGTGTGTGCGGTGGAAAAGACATTACACTAAAGAGGAAAGGGATCCAGGTGAAGGACTGGAGCAATACATGTTAAATACTGGTAAAGGATAGGAAGAGGACAGTGTCTTTAAAAATATTATCTTAAATACTTCTTCTGTGCTGGGTAATGTAAGCCACTCCTAGTAATGGGTCAATGTATGTGCAAAAGAGTAACCATAAGTGTGCATCCTGGATCACTGAACTCTCTCAAGAAAGGTTTTGAAAATCGATGAATAGAAGTTAGAAAAAAAATCCTAATTACAAAACAACCAGGTCATCACCTGGGGGTATTATTAGAAGTTAGAGCAAGACACAGCTCTCAAACCAGCCAGGCCCATTTTAGACCTTCCTTTAAAATCAGCAAATATTACAAATGCCTACTGTACTTGTAACACACTGCTTTGCCTTAGAGTGACCAGATGTCCCGATTTTATAGGGACAGTCCCGATTTTTTCTTATATAGGCTCCTATTACCCCTCACCCCCTGTCCAGATTTTTCACATTTGCTGTCTGGTCACCCTACTTTGCCTAAACACATCAGTCCCAGAAAAGCAGTGGCAAGTGAGCGTTCCATTCTTGGCCCAAGCACAGTATTCATATAGATTATCAAAATCTCATCACTGGATAACATTTGGCAGGATAATGATTTTTTTTAAAGTTAAATTCAGGTCATTTCCTTCCAAACTGTCCCAAACCTGAATCCTTTCCAACCACAAGAGAAAAATTGACAAGGGGAATGTTATCTGTCTGAAGATAACAGCGTTTCTTTCCATCCGGGTAGATCTTTAAAAGACCCTGATGTTCAAGAGGCTTTCAGCCTCCAATCTTATATTTTATTGTTTTTTTATTTATTACCCCGGTAATTTGTCTAGGTTAGTTCACGTTGTTATCTGGATGTCTGAGGACCTTAATAAACTTGAAAATCATTTCAGACATGTGACTAAATGATTTAATTGCCTCCATAACCATTTGTACCCATAAATTGCAGGTGCTTAAAGGTAGGCTGGATTTTCAAAATCTGGCCCACAATCTACAGGTTAAAAATAACCAAAACAGCCAAGAAGCTGCCACAATCCCTCCAATGTATATAATTTACATTGAAATAACTCAGGCTGATTTAGTCACGGGTATTTTTAGTAAAAGTCATGGACAGGTCTCAGACAATAAATAAAAATTCACCGTCCATGACCTGTCCATGACTTTTACCAAAAATACCCATGACTAAATCTCTACTTCTGGGGCCCCACTGCTCCGGGGGGGGGCCCTGCTCCAGTGCTGGGGGTTGACTGCCCCCCAACCGCTGCTCCCAGGGACTGCTCTCCAGATGGTGTCCAGCCGCCCTGGGACTGCTGCTGCTCGGGCGGTCCCCAGGGCACCCCCAGGACTGCTGCTTGGGCACCCCCCCGGAGTCAGCCACACCGGCCGCTGTTCCCACAGTCCCTGGAGCCAGCTGCCCAGGGCCGCCAGAGCAGCAGCTGATGCAGCTGGCCCCGGGGCAGACCCGGGGACCACTGCTCAGACACTCCCTGGGGCTGCCCCCAGGGCCGCAGTTTGGGCGGTCTCCGGGACCAGCTGCACCAGCCACCGCTTGCGCAGTCCCCGGAGTCAGCTGCCTAGGGCCTCCTGAGCAGCAGCAGCTGGTGTGGCTGGCCCTGGAGACTGCAAGAGCAGCTGGCCCCAGGTCGCTCCAGCAGCGGCCAGTGCAGCTAGCTGAAGGGCACCCGAGCAGCTGGCCCTGGGGCCAGCAGCTTGGGCGGCCCTAAACTCAGCCACACCAGCCGCTGCGGAAGTCACAGAGGTCGCGGAAAGTCACGGAATCCGTGACTTCCACAACCTCCGTGAAAGAATCACCGCCTTAGAAATAACTGAGTTCAAGCACAGTCCCACTTATTTCCTGAAGGATCTTAAAATTTTAGTGACTATGAAAATGAAGATTTAGGTAACTTATTGCTGGTTCTCGAATATGTCAATTTTTCCCAGGAATTTCAACTGCCCTAAAGGATTGGGCCCCATCTAAAACATATGCTTTCCAATCATCATAGGATTTTAGTGATTTAGAGGTGCCGTTTCCTCACCACCATTACATGGAGCTGTAGACATAATGTTTTCTGAATTAGGTTCCCTAAAAGATTCATTTTTTTCCAGTAAATATTCAGACACAGCTCGAGAAATGGGATGAAGTGAAGTTTCATGGAGAGAGGAACGGCAAGGGTCATTCAGCTACAGAACGAAAATCTTCATCATCTAGAGCTCCATCAAAAGAGCTTTTATGGTAAAACATGCACCCACACCAATTTTACACCACCATTTACATCACTGCCAACTTTGCTTGGAGATTTCCACTTGAGTTTCACTCACTCACACAAGGGCTGAATTTGGCCCAGTGTGTTTCATTTCTGCATTATCACTTGTAGAACTTAGAAAGGAAGAAAATTAGGTTACTGGGCAAGGGGAGACAGGCATGGTCTGAATAAGGGACTGGGAGCCTGGTGCTCTGGAGTGCTGATCCTTACTCACACTTTGACTCCCTCAGTGGCTTTCTGTGCCTCTGTTTACCTTGCTATAAAATAGAGAGAACACTGCTGTGCACCTGATTCTCCACTTCATTATATTAGGTCTATGACAATGTAACTTCATTGGCTTAACCTGTATAATGGCAAATCATACCCCAGATCTCTTCTATGAGGACAGGTTGTGTTGATCATTGTTTGCATGGAGCTGAAATGTGTAACAGACAGAACCAAGAAGGAAGACGAGTCAGTGCACCATCAGTATCCACCAATTAAAAACTACTCAGCTAACAGAATTAACCCAATTAGTCATGATGTATTTATTAAACTGTTAGATATAGTTTCTTGGTGTACAATAATGAATATGTAAATGCGTTATTTATAGGTCTACAGAGAACAGATCGCAGTCTGAGCTGACTAGTGTCAAAAGTGCCTTGGAGTCCAATTCAGCATCAGATTTAGAATTAGTACCTGCAACACAGGTAAGTGATTTTATTAGGTCCAGTTACACAAATAAGCCAAGCAGGTATTGTTTCATTGTGTTACTCTTCACTATCAAGAGAACTGTAAATGGGGTGTTTTCAATGTCATCAGTTAACTCAATGAGAATTATGCAGCTAAATCTTTACATACTGCATTACATTACAAAAGCAGATTATATGTATTTGAAATACATTAGCATCTCAGTGTTCATTACTTCAGTGAATGAGCATGGTAGCCTGGGGCTAATGCTTCTTAATTTATAAATCTCCTCAGAAGTATATTCCAGTAGAAGTGGAGTATTGATGCATGACTATCATCCAAGCTATGACTCTTACCTTCTGAATAATGATAATGGTGCTGATAAATAAGAAAAATAATTAGATAAATAATTACGATTGAAACTCCAATAAAAATGCACCATTCCCTATGGATTGGGGAATTTCATAGTTACAAAATAACCATCATCATCTTATAACATTCTGCTAAGGAGCAGCAAATAGAGTGCAATAATTAAAAGTGATTTGGGGAGAATCAACAGATTTCAAGAATCAATCATTTACGTTAAAAGCATAAACCAAAATAAGTAACGAGTGGTGGGGTAGGTTTCTAACTTAACTTTTCCTTGTTTCTGATCATGCTCTTATGAAATATAGCAGCAAATTCAGAATTCTCTCTCTTTTGGATTGAAACAGCCCCAGTTTTTTGCTTTTAACTATGTTGCAAAGGCCTATCTATCTGAACAGAGGACTTAGGGATGAATGTGTTTTTTGGAGAGTTTTGGAGAAGGTATTTTGTTAGAGCTGCTCTTCAAAGAGTTGACTTTTTGTTCTTGTTCTGTGGGATCTGCTGTTGCTTTCTCTCTCTCCCTTTTTTTTTAAACATTCATTGTACTTCAAGTAAAGCTCCTTGAACATTATTAGGAAAATTGTTGGCATATCAAGAAAAGGGGCCTTTGGAAAAACACTAGTTATTTCAACACAGTGACTTTCCATTAATATTCTGCAAAAAGCCAGACATTGCTGAGTATTTGTTGGCACACTAAAAAAAAAAAATCAATAGCACAGTAGAGTTGTTATGTGTTACAATCAAACCACATATTGCCAACCCTTTTCTTAAATTGTATGATTTTAGGTTCTTTTACTTAAATCATTTTTGTCGCTGGTAATAGCCTGTGGATAAAATTCAGCCATTTTATCCTTTGTGAGCACTTTAAACCTCTCACACTTAATATAATCCAATAAGTGAATCATTTTTCCTTTACAAACATAAAAAATAAAAATAAAAGAATTACACTGGATTTGCTAACACAGTGAGGAACATTCAGAATCAGCCATAAGCTCAAGAACATGAATAAGTGAAAGAGGCCTATTTAAAAAACAAAACAAAACGACACCTCTACCCCGATATAACACAAACCGATAGAACACGAATTCGGATATAACACGGTAAGCAGTGCTCCGGGGGGGCGGGACTGCGCACTCCGGCGGATCAAAGCAAGTTCGATATCACGCGGTTTCACCTATAACGCGGTAAGATTTTTTGGCTCCCGAGGACAGCGTTCTATTGGGGTAGAGGTGTATTTCCAATAAGGCCTGAAGTGAGAGAGAGAGGCAATTTTAGACCTTCGGGCTAAACATGAACACTGCATACAGCTGGGCACATCACTGGCTGGTGTAATTGTCAGAGTTCAGCGGAAGTCAGTGGAGCTGTGGCAATTTACACCAACTGAGGATCTGCCCCAGCATTTCTATTCTGTAGGGTTATTATAACATCTTGCCTAAAAAGGCCAATTACCACCTGGATTTCTTTAGTTATATATTATGCCCTGCTCCCCTATGCTTCATCTGGCTGTTTGCCTTTCATCTTGTAAGGTCTTTGG